AGTTAGGCTTGAGATGGATTAATGATTGTACATTGAGCATTGACCCCCCTATACTGAATTTTATTGTTGTTAACAACCATTTGATCAATAAATATGAGAGATGCCCTCTCAAAAAAAAAAAAAAAGAATGTTGAGATCTGGATCAACACAGTCAGCTAAATAGCCCTATTCTTAAGACAAAACTTCAAAGGAATTATGAATCACCTGTATACATCATGCCTTATGCTGACCCCTACCCAAAAGACCCTATAAAAACCCCAGTATCAAAACCCTTAAACACAGTGCCTCTCTGAGGTTGCCCACACTCCCATCTGAGTGTGTAGTATATCAAATAAACTTTCTTGTATCATAACTGTATTGCACTTGTCTCTGAACTCTTCCATAATATAGACAAGAACTCTAACCTCCATCTCTGGTGGTAAATGTGTTTGTCATTTTGCTATTTCATTCAGCTTTCTAGTCTTAACACAATCCTTTTCTCTCTCTCAGGCCAGTAGGGAAATGGACATTCTCAGAACATAAACTCACTCCATCCAGTGCTCTGCAGCCCCCCTAGATCTTGGGATGGTAGGGGCTTAGTTCAAGTGGACTTAGTTCGTGCAGACTCAAGTGGACACTGGATGCCAGATGACCCTGGCTTTAGGAGTTGGCAAAGCGATTTGTCCTATTTTAAGCAGGAGTTCAATCAACTTCCCTTTCCTCCCTCTCTTCTTCCTTGGTCTCTACTGCCTGCATGGCTGCTGACATTAGCTTCTCCTCTTGCTTTAATGAATTCCTTCCTTACCTACACTCATCTGACCTGGGCAAGAATCCTCCCCTGTCTGGGTTGAGGTTTCACCTAGTGCACAGGGGAGACCTCCATAGATGCAGCTGCCAAACAACACAACACAATCACAGATATCCTCTTAAAAGGGAGACAGAGTGAGCTTTGACTTAGATGAAGGAAGTGTGATGGAAGCAGAGGGTGGAGTGATGCACTTTGAAGGTAAAGGAAGAGGCCACAAGCCAAGGAATGTGGGAGGCCACTAGAAGCTAAAAAAGTCAATGAAATGTATTCTCCTCTAGAGCCCTCCAGAGGGAACCAGCCCACTGACACCTTGAGTTTAGCCCAATGAAACTGATTTCAAACTTCTGACCCCCAGAACCCTCTTAAGAGAATAAATAAACCTACTACTTTTAAGTTGCTAAGTTTGTGGTGACAGCAGCAAGAGGGAACTAATATAAGCTCCTCAGATGATTCCAACATATACCCTCAGGTAAGAATCACTGTTAGACAAAGCAGAGGCTGACAAGCTTTGTTACAGAGTTGTTATAAATACACATTGCTCACACACAGGGTCTAAGAACATGAGAGCAGCTTCGAGTTTCAGGGACTTGGCAGATTCAAGTTTCCATCTTCATTTCTAAACCACAGTTTATCCTACTTAAATAGAATAATTGCGGAGAATACAAGTCCTATCCTGAGACAGGGAATTTAAGTTGTAACCCACTGAGGTACCAAGATGTGAACTACCTCTTATGGTGTTTACTACTGTGCCAATAAGCAGAAAAATCCACGAAGTCACATTGCTTCTAGCTTGAAGGTGGTGTTGCATGGAGTGGGAAGCTACCTTGTTTTGGGCAGGGCAGGGGGCAGTGGAAGGTAGAACAAACAGTGCCTGGCACAGGGAGTGTGCTCAGTCTCATCTATCATACATGTGGTCTTGATTATAGCAGCTTCTACATGGTGAATCGATGGACTTCGGTGCACATTTGCTGGACTCTTAGGGAGCCACTCCTTCTCTTTAGAGTAACACCCCTTGCTGGAGGCTTGAGATCTGGCTAACCCCTCTTTGGCCCTGACTTGATCACATAGCACCAGAAGATCCTTAGTTTGCGAATAAACTCAACTGAAACACTCATGCATGCACTGGGAGAGAGAGTGCAGGCATCTTAACAAAAAGAGGTTTTCTCCCCCCTTTTTCTCTGTGATATATAATGTGTGATTTATTTTAAGTAATACATATTTGCTCCTAATCTTATGTCTACCACAGAACTCCTAAAAGTCCTGGAATTTCCTGTGCAGAGTGAGCAAGGTGACTTTTGGAAAGCCCCTAGGTAACCTAAGGAAGGGTGTTGCCAGGGGAATCAACCAGAATAGAGGGTTGGAATTTTCAGTCCCATTCCCTTGATTTCCAGGGAGGGGAAAGAGCTGGATGGAGGTTGAATCAATCACCAATTGTCAATGATTTAATCAATCATTTCTAGGTAATGGAGTTTCCACAAAAACCCTAAAGGAGGGGGACTGGAGAGCTTCCAGGTTGGTGAACACATGGAGATTTGGGAAGAGTGGTGTGCTGAGAAAGAGCGTGGAAGCTCCAGGCCCTTTCCCCATATCTTGTCCTATGCACCTTGTCTGTCTGGCTGTTCCTGAGTTCTTTCCTTTTATAATAAACTGGTAATGTAGTAAGTAAACTGTTTCTCTGAGTTCTGAGAGCAGCTCTAGAAAATTAATCAAACTTAAGGAGGGGATTAGAAACTCCCATCTATAGGTGGTCTGTCAAAAGCACAGGCGGCTTCTGAAATAGGGTGGGGTAGGGAACAATCTTCTAGGGCTGAGTCTTTAACCCAGGTAGACAGTCAGGATTGAGTTAAATTGTAGGACACCCAGCTGTAGTCAGCGAATTGCGTGGTGGTGTGGGAAAACCCACACACATTGGAATTGGGTCCCAGAATCCTGGTTTCCCTTCTATCCTCCCCATCCTCTCCTAGAACCTTGACTTTGTTCAGGAATGGCATAGCATATCCCTAAGGGATGTATCCTGATGGGGCTAATAGTCAAGATAAAGCCTTGTTTCCCTTGCAGTTATTTGTTTAGCAGTGGGCAGGTGATAATGTTTCTGTTCAATGAGATTTAAGGGGAAGTTGGGAGGGGACTTCTTGTTCCTTCTTATATCAAAAAAGGTATATAAGGCTAGCCACTTTTATTTCTGCCTTTGGATATGGTTGTATGACACTGATTCCTTGAGCTGTGGGAGCCATCTTACGAACATGAAAACGTTCTCTGAGAACAGTGGAGTGAAAACAGAAAGCTGAGGTCTCTAATTAGTTCATTGTATATCCTCAGTCAACTCTGGGACTGTTAGGGTGCAGGCTTCCGAGGCTTCCCCAGAGAACAAACTACACAGGCATAGAGATGTAAATTCAAGCAAAGTCTTTATTCAGCCAACTAGTTGGGGTCCAAGTCAGCCCGAAGCAGCGGGTCTCAACAAGGACCCCGAGCACTCTGAACCAAGGGTTTATATAGCAATTTCAAAGCACTTAACTCATAGCAATTTTCTATAACTGTACATTATTCTTGCAAGACATATATCCTGGGGTTAAGCAAGGGCAGGGTAAGACTACTCCTCAGTGGTTAGGGAGGTTCTGCACGATAAGCTTGGTATGTAAGATTTACTGACCAAGGTTAGCTGACCAAGGGTCACAGCTGCCC